GTGTGTTTTCGCGTAAAAATATAAAAAATTACAGTCCACTATTCTCTCTTATGTTGCAAAACGCAACAACAGTTCCAGCATATATTTCGTGAACCTTTTTTTGCTGTTGCTGGTACATTTAAACCCTCTTACATATAATTATTAATTATTATGCTCAAACACTATTTGCCTTCATAAAATGTATATCAATAGTTAAGAAGTTTCTTTTTGTGCTGAGCTCGAAGTTCAAAGCGAATTGACCTTGAAATTAGAGAAAGCTTAAAATTGTACCTATCGCCACCATTGCGCAAGAAGGTGCCAATTTTGAGTTGTACTTATTTTCAGTATGCTATTGTCGCGGCTTTGGGTTGCCTGCTGACAAAAATCTTGGGTTCGTTGTTCGTTTCGTTTATTCCAAAAATCAAAGTCAGATTAACACAGCAATAATTTATTCCACTTAACAAAACACTCTGACACTAATTACTTTATTAACAAACTCAACAATTAAACTCTTTACAATCACTATTTAAATCGTATCACACTCGAACTGAAACTTACTTACAAACCAATGCCGGCCTTCTTATATATCCCTAAATCTATTCCTGTGAAATCGAGAATACACACGATAATCTAATTTTCCAGATTAAAGTAGAATAATTCGCTAGATTCTAGTATTTCCGCGATCGATTCTTGACAGCCTGGCGGACGTTTAGCTTATTGTGACACTGCCCTCCTCTTAAGGTTGATCGTCCCGATCAACTTCACGCCCATGATATTTCGCCAACCTGTCCAGATGTACAACTTTCATCTTACTCCTGGTGTTGCGCTGGACTCGATAAACCAAATCATTGATCCTCTTGATTACTCTATAGGGTCCTTCCCATGCTGAAGACAATTTCGGTGATACTCCTTTCTTCCTCACTGGGTTATACAACCACACTAAATCACCTTCTTTAAATCCGACCGAATTGGCCTTCAAGTCGTATCTGGTCTTCATTCGGTCACTGGCTAGTTGAATATGCTCCCGAGCAAAATCATGGATTCCCAGAAGTCGTGCCCTTACTTCGTCGGCATAATCTCGGATTTCTCTTCGTTCTTCTTCGGGTACTCCAAACATCAGATCGCAAGGTAACCTGAATTCCCTTCCAAAAACAATTCTAGCCGGACTTTCACCTGTTGAATCGTGAACAGCCGCTCTGTAAGCCATTAAAAATAGAGGCAAATGCTTGTCCCAATCTCGTTGGTTCTTTGCGACTACTTTTGTCAGGTGTTCCTCTATGGTCTTATTGAATCGTTCCACCATGCCATCAGACTGAGGGTGTAAAGGTGTTGTCCTGGTCTTACGGATTCCCATGATCTCACAAATTTTCTTAAAGACGGCAGATTCGAAGTTTCGTCCCTGATCTGAATGTAACTCTAGTGGCACATCATGACGACTAAAAACTTCGTCCACTAGCACCTGGGCAACAGTGATGGCTTCTTGATTGGGAATAGCGAAAACTTCTGGCCATTTACTAAAGTAATCCATGATAACTAAGATGTATTTGTTACCACGCTCTGACTCTGGGAACGGTCCAGCAACATCTATCGCTATTCTTTCAAATGGGAGACCGACGTTGTACTGTTTCATGGGCCCCCGAGATCTTAATTTAGGGCCTTTACTGGTAGCACAGATGTCGCATTTTCGGCACCAGCTTTTAACGTCTTCATGATAGTGAACCCAATAAAAACGTTCCCGAATTTTGTCCAAAGTCTTGTTAACTCCGAAATGTGCCCCTGAGGTTCCGTCGTGTATTTCTTTTAATACATCTTCCACTCGGTCTTTTGGGATAACCAGTTGGCTCTTAGTGGATTTCCATCGGCACTTTCCCAAACTCTTTTGAGCAAACCATTTTCTACGGCCAGAGAGTTCCATTGGGCCCACAACGCTTTGTAAATCAAGCTCTTGTTTGACACTTCCCTCCATTCTGGCCTACATTCATCGTTTTCCTTAAGATGGAGAATCTGCCCGATGTCCTGGTCTGCTTCCTGGTCTTCTCTCATTTGTTTCGTAGACCACTTGTCATCAACGATCAGGCCCGTTCTTCTCACAGATGGACTAGTGTTCTTCTCATGTGGGTTTCCAGGTCGATGTTTAGGACTAGCGTCTCTGGACCTCCAAAAGCTTTGGGAACGATCCCTAGATGGAGAGGTCATCCTTAGTCAACAATCCCATTGCATGTGTCCAAGCCTTTGGCACCGGTAGCATTTTACTCGGTTTCTTGGTGTTGGTGTTTGTCTGGAATCGTTTCCCATTTTTCTATCTTCTAGTAACAGTTTCTCCATTCTCTCCATGAAATTACTCATTTGGGTTTCAAAGCTATCATCCTCTTTTGCCAATTGTTTATCTTTTGGGTCTTCAATGGACACTGCTCGTACTCTGGGTCGTGAGGCACCAAAGATTGCTTCCAGTTCTAATGCTCGGACAAGGGCTTCGCTACTTTTCCTGAACTTGGACATTCTTAGGTTTTCCTGGATCTTGGAATCCCGGAGACCATCAATAAACGTAGATACTGCCATCCATTCTTGTATGTCTTCCCTAGCTGCAGGAAACGCCAAACTCACTAGCCTTTTAACTTCCGATTCGAATTCTTGTAGACTCTCGCCGGGTTTTTGAACTTTTGATTTAACTTGAGTTCTGAATACTTCTTGTCTGTAATGGTCTCCGAAGCGCAGTTCTAAAGTTTGACTAAGATGCTGGTAATTCTGTTGGTAGACTGAAGGAATGGACTGAAGAAGGTCTAAGGCTGGTCCTCGTAGCGCCACTATTAGTGCTGTAGCTTTTTCTTGGTCGTTCCATCCGTTGGTATTTGCAGCAGCTTCAAATTGTCGAATATACATGGTCCAGGACGTAGAACCGTCGAAAGTTGGTGGTTTTATCTTCATACTGGAGAATGCTCCAACACTAGCTGGATGTATGGACTGTATTTCTAATCTACGCATCTTATCCTCGAGTGCTTGAACTTGGTCCTCAACTTCTTGTCTTAATTGCTGAACATCGTCTTTAACTTCTTGAACATCGGCTTTGACCTCAGCTTTTACTCCCTGAACGTCGTGTTTAACTTCTCTTACATCGTCTTTAACTTCTTGAACATCGATTTTGACTTCAGTTTTTACTTCCTGGACGTCGTGTTTAACTTCTTGCACATCGTCTTTAACTTTTTCAATCTTCTGGTCTAAGTTGGCGACAGTTCCTTGTATGGTTTGGAATATCTTCTGCAGTTTTGCAAGGTCTTCTTGCCGTTCTTGTTGTCGCCTAGCTTCTTCTTGTTGTCGTCTAGCTTCTTCTTCTTGTTTTTCTTTTTGTCGCCTGAGTTCTTCGTCTTGTTTTTCTTGTTGTCGTCTGGCTTCTTCGTCTTGTTTTTCTTGTAGTCGTCTGGCTTCTTCGTCCTGTTTTTCTTGTTGTCTTCTAGCTTCTTCTTGTTGTCGTCTAGCTTCTTCGTCTTGTTTTTCTTGTTGTCGTTTGGTCTCTTGAAGTTCCAACATTTTGTGCAGGAGTTCTTCAACTTTTTGTTCGTCCATTTTGGCTTGTTGTCTTGTGATAGGCATATACAGAATGTTCTAGAATTTCCCTCGAACTTTCTTCAAATATCTTTTCTGGTCTTTGCTCGAAGTTCCAAACACGCCGGTGAAGTCACAAATTGGATAACTTGCCTTATTCTAGAATAGAATGTTCTGGAATTTTCTTGAAACTTCTTTTCTAGATGTCGATTGATACAGCAAACACGTTGGTGAAGTCACAATTTCGATATCTCCCTTGGTTTCCAAATAGAATGTTCTAGAATTTTCCCGAAACTCCTCGAAAAACTTCTTCTGAATGACGATTGATGTTCCGAATGCGTCGGCGAAGTCACAAATTCGATATCTCCCTTAGTTACCAAATAGAATTTTCTAGAACTCACTCGAAGATTCACTATCACAGTCTAAATCGGGGATAGAGTCACTTCCGGGGTAATTCACACGATCGGTTGAGTCTCTTTTTGTGATTGTCACTGTTTGCACTGCACTAACTGTCCCAGTGTTCACTTAGTGTTCAGTTTTTACACTACACTAGTGTCCCCACACTTCCGCAATTGGATTTCACTCTGCAGTCCTTTATATCCCACTTCTTGGCACCAATGTCGCGGCTTTGGGTTGCCTGCTGACAAAAATCTTGGGTTCGTTGTTCGTTTCGTTTATTCCAAAAATCAAAATCCGATTAACACAGCAATAATTTATTCCACTTAACAAAACACTCTGACACTAATTACTTTATTAACAAACTCAACCATTAAACTCTTTACAATCACTATTTAAATCGTACCACACTCGAACTGAAACTTACTTACAAACCAATGCCGGCCTTCTTATATATCCCTAAATCTATTCCTGTGAAATCTAGAATACACACGATAATCTAATTTTCCAGATTAAAGTAGAATAGTTCGCTAGATTCTAGTATTTCCGCGATCGATTCTTGACAGCCTGGCGGACGTTTAGCTTATTGTGACACTATCATATTTTATCGAGTATAAAAAGGTGACAACTGTATAGTAGCGTATTGAAAAGATAGACTAGGGGATAAACGCCCAACAAAACTTGGTTAAGATATAAATCTTCAAAAAATTAATTAATTATTTTCAAATTTATATATGTTTGTTAAATCCTGCCTGCATATCGCATGTGATCCCTGCATAAGACAAAATCCACGCATTCGCGAGTTGTTCTTTATGCCTTCGTTTAAAGAGTTTTTAAAACCGCACCAGTAATAAAGATAGGCGCTGGAACGACTTCTTATCAACGACTTGTTGCATTAACATCGAAATCGGCTTGTAGTTATCGTTACTTATTTTTATTTTTTTCCTGTACATAAACAAATCCTTTAGCTTCTGGGGAATGATGACTTTTCGAGACTTTATCGATGTTTTAAAGCGTCAAGGTACTCAAATTGTGATCAATTATCGTAAATTATTCCCGGGTGTAAATTTGATAGAATCACTTACCTGACAATGTCATGGACCCTGCTGGCAGGAGTGGTCGAGGGAGTATTTTGTAGTACTGAAGCCAGGAATTGCATAAGAGCGGTACTGAGGGGATCAGATGGTAGGTTTTCCTCGCAATCATCCAAATCCTGGAAAAAAAAATATTGTGAATATTGTTAGTATTCCAAGAAATGGTCACAACTTCAAAAAATGCACTGCCTAAATTAGTAATCACTTTTGGACAACTCAGATCCTACACTACTTTTTAAATTGGCCTAATCTCGAATTGCCTAAGAAAACTATTAATAGAAGGAAAAAAATATTGTGTAGATCTTCTCCTGCACGTTTCTTTCTAATCTTAGTCATTATTTGTTTTTTACTAGCAATAAGGTGCTGAGAATAAAATGGCAGCAATCACAATACATAAACTAATTATCAAATGGAAAGAAAAACTAGAGAGGGTTGAGGGTACAACCCCGAGTTGAAAGGGGTCGAAAGAAATTTTAAAAATTGCGAAATGACCCAGCTAAACTGGACCCTTTCCGGTTTTATTTGATTTCGACGCTTTTTTGCAGTTACTTTTATACGCGCGATTGCTTTTCCGATTTCTTTCAGGGGCTCCAAAATGCAAGTAACGCTGACGAATGAAGGGTTGTCGTTTTTCTTTTCTCAGGCAGCAAGGGTGAACAAAGCAGATATTCCAATTTGGTATAGTGCGTTTTTGCAGATCGTTGGTTTTTATTTCTGGGGAAAGTGAAAACTTGATAGAAAGTATATTTCAAGTCTGATATTGATAGACGTTTCGGGCATATGATTTTTATGATGAAGTAAGAAAGCAATACAAAACAGTTATTAGGTGGGTATAGGAAATGTAGCGGATGCAAAGGTATAGTTTAGGTGAAACTGTTATATTATTTTTGCAGTGTTTGTTTTAGAATGAAATACGTGATTTACAGACTTTTAATTTTTATAAGGCTTTTTACTTATTTGGAATTTGACACTAATATTTGAATTTTGATTCCAGCAATAGGTGATTTTTTTTTTATTTTTTCATTGAATTAGGCACATCAAAATCTATTCTTGGTTTTTTTCCCGCATTTTTTAGAATAATATTAAAGGAGATATTTCAATTTGAAATTTTACTATTATTCGTTATTTTTTAAATTGTAATGACGTCACAAGGCGAGCTTGCGCACTGTATTTCTAAATTTAAGTTTGCATCACTGACAAAATTTTCTAGTTGTCTAGTTGGCTGCAATGTCACTGGCCCATCTCTTGTCTTCTTTTAGAGGTTATGTCAGTTATTTTGTTTATTTTGATTCGCCTGTCTAGTCTGGTTGATTTATAAAATTAAAAATAATAGTAGATTATACCACGAGTCAATAATGATAGCTATTATTCCCGAGGAGTATTACGAACTGAGCCGCGTTAGCGGCGAGGGAGTAACATTCCGAGGGAATAATAGCCATTATTGCGAGTAGTATACTCTACTTTATTTACGACAAATTAATTTATTTGAGATTTTCAATGAACAAATTTCATCCGTCTCATAATTTTCAATACAAATCCACAAGCACTACACGTTTGACACTGACACTTTTGTGGAATAATGACCATTAATCCCGCTACTCGTCATTAATCCCTGGAGGAATAACATATGTCATTATACTGCCAAAATCACAAATATAATACGCACATTATACATTAGTAGTAAATAAATACTTATTTCACCCGTTTATTTGGTCGGTTTATGTGAGAAGATGGATATTGGATTTATTAAAGCCTCCAGCGAAAATTAACCTGAACTAAAGTATGTGATGTTGCAAGAGTTTTTTGCCAAAAATACGGATTATTTAAGTGCAGAAATAAGAGGAGTCAAAACCTAAAGGTGGGTATAATTGGGTATATTGGCATAATTATTGTATTGGTTTAGCTTTGGCCCATTATTATATTACATTTTTAGTAGCAGCGTAACAGTTTTATAGTTTCATATATTTTTAGGTCAGCGAGAGCCAGTTATGGTGACAATGCTGCTAGTATGTGCATTAATGTGCAGTTGAAAAGAGACAGCAGAATATCCTCTGTTAGGAGCATCGCCGGATGGAATAAGCAAAGAATTTGTGATTGAAGTTTAATGTCCTAGCAAGAAGGAGACTGTGAAAAACTACATTAAGGAAAATGGAAATATATTGACGAAATACATGTGCCAACTTCAGTCTTCAGTTACAAATGTTATTGTGTAACAGACAAAAAGGACTGTTTTGTGTGGCAAGTCCCAAATTTGGAGAGGATAATGAAGTGACAATTTTTGAATTAGACTTAAACATTAGGTTTATTAAAGTAATTATTGAATCAGCTAAAGAATTTTGGAAGAAAAATGTATTTTCAGTCATTTTGAATAAAAATATATGATTGATTTGAGAGTCTGGTAGTTTTCTTCTTTACATTATTTATGCATTAAAAGTACCCTTTTAATCCCCAGGATTAAATTTCACTTTATTTCCCAAGAGATTAATTTTTTACTTCATTTCCCGTGGAGTAAATGGAACAGGGAATAAAAGGGTACTCCAAAGTTGAGGGAATAAAAAACACTTTAGTCCTGAGATGTATACACTATTTTATGTACTTTAGAGGGATCAAAAGTACCCTTTTAAAATTCCTAAAGTGCATATGATAGTCTATACACCTCAGGACTAAAGTGTTTTTTAATCCCTCAACAAATTATAGCCCTCACTTCGGGATTAAAAGTACCACTTTAGTCTCTAGGTGTATAATGTACTATTTTGGCAGTAAAAAAAGTAATAGGTATTTTTTTTATACAATATATTCAAAAAAGCATTTTTTTCTAGCTTCGATATAAAATTTATTTGATTAATGGTCCCTGCAAATTCACTATTCCACAAGCAATAATTATTGAATAATCAGTTTTTGCCACAAGCTGATGGTCAATGCAGGAATGTCCTTCGAGTATTGTTAATTCTCACAATCTTTGTATCACTCTTTCAATATGGATTCGTAAGCTGGCAATTCTTTTATTCAGCTTCTTCACAAACTCGGATTCTGCCTAAATTAATATGTGGAACCACTTTTTTCTTCATAAGTAATTTGCAGTTTGTCATCCTAAACTGCATCTAGTTATCTAACCTAATCTAGCATGCCATATCAGAATATTATTGATAAGGAATTATTTTTTGATTTGATAAAGTTTACTTTTAGGGCCAGTTATTTTGTTTACGAAGGAGCCTACTACCAACAAAAATTTGGCACACCCATAGGAGCACCAATCAGCCCAATTCTAGCTGGTTTGGTAATGGAAATGGACTTTGGCGTTCGTCAAGCTATACAAGGCGTTGACTTTGATATACCTTTCTTCTTCCTTTATGTTATGATTCGCTTTGTACGTTTCCCAGCAATAAGGTCAACAACTTGCTGTGTCACTTGAATGCTGTCGATGAGAACCTCCAGTTTATGTTTAAGATAGAGAACGACAATAAATTGCCATTTCTAGACTTACATATATCTAATAAACAAAATATTTTATTGGATTTATACAAAAAAACCTACCAGCTTCAACAGAATTCTAAATTACCATTCAAACCATCCAACACAACAAAAATTTAATATTATAAAACAATTTAGAGACAAAATTTACAGACTCTCAAATGGAATGTTTTGGGAGCAAAATCTCATAAAACTTAAAAGTATTTAATTTCAATTAAATTCCTATCTTCCGAATCAGTATCATCATTTGTAGAGATGATTTCAATTTCGTCTTGAATTTTTTCATAATTCGAAAACAGTACATGCAGCCTAGTTAACCTATTTTCAAATTGTAGAGAGTCAACAATTATGTCTTTTGTTAGTTACAAACAATGAACTAAACAAACACACTGGAAAGGCGGCTGCATAATTGTTTCTACGCGAGGGTTTGTGCCAGGAAGGACAACAAACAAGAGGGATTTGCATCTTTCTCTGCACTATGGCGGCTATTGAGAACAGCTGTTTGAAGTGTTTGGATCATTGACACAGATCACCTAATACAGAAGCGTAAGTACGTATACTTGCCGTCGACGATATTCTGTGACAAAGCCGGGCTGCCAGCATCCCCACGCATAGATAAAGATCTCCCGCATCAGGACAATTAACGTGGCCGAGTGCGTGAGCATGTTCCAGCCTGTGTGTTTACATATTTTTGCGGGTAGAAAAAAATAATTTTTTGCTGTTTGTGAACCACTTAAAGAAATAATATTATATTATTGAGCTTCCGCATCTATATAATAAATGTTCAAGATACATTGATGTGTCATTGGTGCGGCCAGCCTATGTCTATCAAATTAATCTTGAACCACGAATTCGCCGCTCTTTCGCATCTGTATGTAGGTAATCTGTGTCATTGAGGTTAGGAAGATGAAGAAGCTCTTCTTTTTTTTTAAATTAATCGCAATGAGTGCGAGCGAGACAATAATCCCTCTGTATTGCTGGGTTGCATACATCAAAATTTGGCACACTAGCATAAAGCAGTGCGCCCGTTCCAGAGTGTTTGTTTAGTTCAATGGTTACAAACCATGATTCTAACCTAGTAATAGCAGTTTTGTAGATTTCCTACTTTTGCGAAGGTCGTCTAGTTGCATTTTTATAGCTTTGATTTTTACAAAATATTTACAAAATTAATAAAACTAAAAATAGAAAGGTTTTTGGTAACCAACTAATGTCCCAATAATTGTCGACCAAAAAATGTAGAGGCAACAGGGTATAGTTTCTTGGAATAATTACAGAACCAGTTCGATACAGAGTTCACTGGCAATATTAGAGAGATTTTGAGCCACATACATTTTGAAGTACGTTACACGCTAAATGATAAACTGAGCAAGCGCAGTCTTTGAAAAATAGCGGATGACATTTAGCCTTTTTTAGTTTTTGAAGCCAAAACTTGTGTAGGACGTTATACGCTAAACGTTAATGAAAATGTTTGGTTAGGATTTTGATTTTGTGTAACTAATATCAAATTTTATGTTGTCTGTTGTTTATGTTAGAATTGTTAGGTATTCATTTGTATTTTGTTTTGTGTAATTGTGTACTGCACTTCATGGATAACATTGAAAATATAAAAGGACGTCGGAATGCGGAAAAGATGTTAAAACGTTATCGG